TTCGGCACAGCAATCGGAAGGGAATAAGCAAGCGCGCTAGTTTAAAGTATCTAGACGCCTGAACTCGGTCTACTATCAGCGCTGGGGCCGAAACGCTATTCGTACTCTGCTGATCTTTTTAGAGATGGTGATGGTTTTGTTCACGTGATTCGGCACAGCAATCGGAAGGAAATCAACAGGCGCGCTAGCTCAAAGTGTCCAGACGCCTGAACTCGGTCTGGTATATCTATTTTCTTTTCCAGGGATGTTTTTTCCTCACTTCTTCTTCTCCTCCACGTCCTCCTCCATGAGACCGCGCCCTCGCGCGCGCAATGCGAGATTGACGCGCCCGCATTGCACGAGGAAGCTCTACGAGTTCCCAGCGGTAACCAAGGTTGACGGTTTACCGCCAGCTCCCAGTAATTCGTTCCACGTTGGGTGGCGTTCGTATGTACAAACTGTTACCCGAGAGTATCGTTAGTGCTCCTGACGTGAAAGGGTCAGCGTCTATTGTCAGAGATTTTGGGTCATGCCTGAGGTCAGGTTCCGTCTTGGCCTCAGTATTTTCGTGGCTCCTACCATCTGTTTTCCACGAAGTGCGCCGTTTCAGGAAGTGGCGCTCGGCGGCCTGATGGCGTCTGTGTTGTGTTCGGGTGGTTTTTCTTTTGATTGGCACGAACATTTATTTTCTAGCGTCTTTTTTGTATCCTTTTTCCGTCATCGTTCTCGCTCGTTCCTGTCCTTGTTTTTTCCTCTGTTTTTCTTCTCGTTCGTTCGTTGTCCTTTCTTGTTTTCTGGTTCGTTTTCTTTCGTTTTTTCTTCGTTTCTTGCATGGTTCGCTGTTTGCTGTTGCCTTTTCTGTTCATTCTCCTTCTTCCTGCCCCTGTCTCTCTTCGTGTTGCTTCTGGTTGTTGCCTGCTTTCTTTGCTCTTGTTCTTTTCCCTTCTTTTCGTCTCTCTCTCTCTCTATCTCTCCTTTTTTTTCTTGTTCTTATCTCTCTCTCTCTTTCTTTGTTCTTTTCGTGTTTCCCCTGCTCTTCTCTTTCTTCTTTTCTCATGCATTTTTTATTTTCGTGTGTTTTGGTGAAGATAACTGCGCTGCAAAGGTCCGATAACACTTTCTTTATCTTCTCCTCTCTCCCTTTCTTTTTTTTTCTTCCCCCCTCCTCCCTTTCCCCTTCCCGTCCTTCCCCCCTCCTTTCTCCCTTTCTCCTTTCTCTATGTCTGCTGCTGTTGAGTTCGGTCGTCGGCTTCATGTGTTGTCCTGCTGCTGCTGTTGTGGTCGGTCATTCTTTCTCGCCTTGTCGTCCTCCCGGTCCTGTGCGCTGCGTGGAACGCAGTAGGGACTTTTCAAGGCAACGCGCGTCTGGCGCTTCCCGCTCCTTCTCGCCTCCTCGGTCCCCCTCGTTGTTTTGTTCTGCTGCCCTCCTCCCCTCATCCCTCCCTCTCCGTCCTTCCTTCTCTCCCCTTCTCCTTCCTCTCTTCGTGTCTGGCTATGCATGTGCAGTGATTTAAAGCATCTATCTGCCGCGCGCGCGGCCGGAGATGTTTTTTGAAGTTTCCCGGAAGTTATGGGTGTCAATCCATGTTCGGTTTTCTCAGTCCGGTTTGTGCGTCTTCTCTTCTTCGCCATGCTCTTTATTAAACTATGTTGAGAATTGAGATTTTGGACGGAAGCCTTATGGTGTCGAGGCGGTCAAGGAAAAACAAGCATATATGTATAAAACAAGCAGCAACATCACATACAACCAGTAGAACATGAAGCAATTTTGAACTAAATAAAACATGAACAAACATAACTACAATTTACAACAATTCGTGCATGTATGTATGTCTGTCTGTCTGTCTGTCTGTCTGTATGTATGTATGTATGTATGTATGTATGTATGTATGTATGTATGTGTGTGTATATATATATATATATATAATGCCACATTCGGCGTGTGGAACGCATGCGGGCGGTCTCAGTGGACGGTGAAGCCCTATGGGGCTGGGAAACGCTGTACAGGGTGGGTGGAATTGTCAAATTGATTGTGGGACGCATGCGGATGGTCCTCTGATGATGTCGGTGGATCTCCCTGGGGCCAAGACGCGCTGTACTTGATGGGTGTAAATGCCAAATTGGGTGTGTGAGACGCACGCGGCGGGCGGTCCTTCTGGGGGCTTCCGTGAACGAGCCGTGTTGGGTGAGTGAAAATGCCAAATTGGTTTTGTCGGGACGCACGCGGACAGGGCATTAGGGGCTTTGGTGGATTTCCCTACAGAGCACAATCGTTGAATCGGGTGGGAAAAAATGCGAAACTTGCTTTTTGGGACGCATGTGGTGACAATGGGGGCTTCGGTGGATTTCCCCTCTGGGGACGACACGCTGCGGGTGAAACTGACAAATTCAAGGTTTCGGGACGCACGCAAACGGTAGCACGGACGCTTCACTGGAGCTCCCTTGTGCAGACGAATGAATTGGTGTTTCGAGGTTAAGGTTGTTCGAGAATTTTAAGATCGGTTTATTTCCCATAAAACGCTGCTCGCACTCTGCAATGTTGGCACACGTTATTAATGTGATCGGCATGCAGCGTGTTTTTCCTGTCTACCTGCGTATAGTTCACAGATGACGCCAGATCATGTCGTCGATGCTCTGCTGGGAGGTTTTGTTCCCCCGATTCGGTTCTGTTCTGATTTCAGTTCTGCCTGCACCCTTCGGCGGCGAGCTTCGAATGTCTCGCCGAGCGATTCAGGCAATTCGATGGACGGCGGGGGCACGGCGAAATCCAAACCCCCTACGTTCGCTTCCCGTCGATTCGGCAGAATTGCTTGTTTTCGGGGTGAGTTCGGAAGTTGCTTCTTGCATCCCAGCCTTCCCTAGATTTGGTTGCAGGGCGTCCCACTCCACGGCCCTCTTCCTCCTTCTCCCCCTATTCCTTCTCCTCCTCCTCCCCGTTCTTCTCCTCCTCCTCCTCCTCCATTCCTCCTGCTCCTCCTCCTCCTCCTCCTCCTCCTCCACGTCCTGTGCCCGGCCAGGCGCAGGGTCCGGCTTGCGGCAGCCCATCTCCTGGTCGCTCGCACGGCCGCCTGGCGCAGTCTGCGAGGGGCTGCATTTGCACGCCCTGCGTCTCCAAACCCGCCATCCTTGCCCGTACTCATGGTCGCTCGCACGGCCGCCTGACGCAGTCTGCGAGGCGCCTGCATCTGCAGGTCCCGCCCCCCCAAGCCCGCCATCCTTGCCCATGCCCTTCGGGAAGGCTTGGGTATCGCGCATGGCCGCGCCCCGCCCTGGCGCACGTCCTTCGTGCTGGCCTCACTCTCGAAGCCGAGGTGCTCTTTGGTAGCTAGTCGCGGGGTGTCTTCGGAGCCTGTCGGCACGCTGGGCGGTTTCCTCGTGTTGCGGCAGCAGCCTATGGCCCATGGCCTCAGTGATCTTGCGGCCCGCCCTTCTGCCTTGGCTTGATCTTGCAGCCCGCCCTGCTGCCAGGATGCCATGGCATGACCACGCCTAGAGGTCGTCGTTTACGACCCGCTTGGGGCGGCGTTGGGGCGCATGCGCGTACGCAGCGGCAGCGAGGCTGCCCAGAGGCTGGGCTCCTCGAGTTTGGTGTCTACCTCTGTTTGTTTCTCATATTTGTCTGTTGTTGTCCGTGTTTGTCTTCATTGTCCTGTCTTCTTTTGTCTTGTCGTGGTCATGGTCGTGGCCCTGGCCTGAGTTCTGGTGTTGCTCTTTGTCGTGGCTTTGGTCTTGGTCCTGGTCTCGATTGGTTCAGTGATAGTTTTTTTTGGTCTTGGCCTCTGTCCTGACTATCGTATCTTTTTTCGATTCGCACTGGTCCTGAGCCTGCTTCCATGTCTGTTTCCGAGCCTCTACTCCCCTCCTCCTCTCTCTCCCTCTCTCTTTCTCTCTCTCCCTCGCTCTCGGCGGTGGCGACATGTCATTCTCCCATGTTCAGTCCGGGGGAAGAGTGCTAGGGATAAGGATGAGCTGGAGGCCTGTAATGGACGAGCGCGGCGGGCGACCCACAACAGCCGTAATTTGGAGGCCTAGAAATGGGCACCAACACCAACACAAGGGGTTGCCTCCACAGGGGGGAGGGGATACCAGATTTCGGTGTTGGTGGCAATACTTCGGTCACCTGGGAAGCCAGAATATTACCACCATCACCGAGATCGGGACCTTCTTCCCTCGCTGGAGGCACACCGCCGATCTTGGTGTTGGTGTCATTCTCTAGGCCTGCGAGTAACTAAACCCGCGCCATCAGACAGCGTGCGGCCAGCGCCCGCGGCGCCCACCTGCCGTTGCCGCCGCCTGGCCCCGCTCCAGGGGTGCGGCAGCCGCCTCGCGCTCGATCGGGGCTCCGCCCTCCGCCCGGAGGCCCGAGCCCTGCCTGGCCGGAGCCGGTGCCGCCGACGGCCCACTGTCGTGCCTGGCCAGGGCCATCCTGCACGGGGCTCGAACGTTTACACCACCACCACCTCCCTTCCCCCCTCCCTCCCCCAGGGAAAGAGCAGAGGAAGAGGAGGGCAGAGGAGGAGAGGAAAAAACACACAGACACAATTAATCTTCGATTCCCAGGAAAATATGGGAAAATATGGGAAGTGGGTTGGAAGACAAAACCCCCCCAAATATAGGAAAATATGGGGAATATTTTAATTTGTGTGTATTTATTTGTGTTTCCTGGGGCCCCTTCAGCAGAGGAGGGAGGAAGAGTCGACGCGGTGGTGGTGTACATCCCTGGGGCCCGCAGGCCCTGCGCCCAAGGGCGGTGCCCGCGCCCTCCCGGCCTCGGCCCCCGAGGGCCCGGCCGCACCGTGCCCGGGGCCCGGGGCCCGGGCCCTGGCCAGGCGCCTCCGCCCCTTGCGCGCGCGAAGCGTCGGCCTGGCGGGGGCCTGCCTTTGCCTCGCGGCGCGCGCGACGGCGACGGCGGCGGCGGCGGCGGCGGCGACGACGACGACGACGACGAGGAGGACGCGAGGACGAGGACGACGAGGCCGACGAGGACGACGGAAACGACGAGGACGGCGAGCGGGCGTCCGAGACCCTTCCAGAGGCCCGCTGCGGCGGGCCGGGCGCGCCCGCCCCGCCGCCGTCCCCCCCCCGGGGGACCCTCTGCTCGCCCGGCGATGGCGGCGCACTCCGTGCTTGCCCGGGCTGGGCGGCAGCGGCGGCGGCTCGTGGCGCCGCGGGCGGGCGCAGGGGGTGCGGCACGGTGTGCGGCTTCGCGCGAGGGGTGTCTCGGGCCGGACGATAGGGGGGGATCGGGAAAGGGCGGGTTACGAAATTTGCTGCATGCAGCTGGTTTCGGCCTCACCGAGGGGCCCATTCCTCGATACATAGTTGCTTCCGGCGCCGGGAGGCGCCGGGAAAAGCAGTTACGTGAGCTGATTCTCAAACCCCCCCTTTGCTATCCTCCCCTTCCGCCCGACCCGAGTGTCCCTCCGCGGGAGTGGCCTTTGGCGCACGGCTTCCAGGGGGGCGCGTGGGGGACACAGGCCGTGCCGCTGGCGTCGCAGCGCATGCGCCGCCCACCACAGGTCACTCTGGCTCAGGGCCACCTGCGGCAGGGTTCGGAGATGACGTCACAAGTACGCCTGCGCCGATCCCGAGTGGGTCGATGCCTGGGGAAAGGAAGGGGAGGAGGACGAGAGCGAGGAGGAAGATGAGGAGGGGGATCAGAACCCAAGATGCATGATCGATGCTGCACAACACTGTCCCGTAAGTCTCTGTCGCTGCAATCATTTTTTTTTTTTTGCGAGGAATGCCCCTCTGCGAGACCAGCGCGTCAGGAGCCTGCCATTAGGCGCGATTTCTTTTCTGCAAAGTCACCACCCTCCATCCCTGTAGCTATCAGAAGCGCCGATGGGTAAAGCGTCCTCGAAAGCCTTTCTTGTGCCAGCAGCCCCAAATGTCAGTGCCACATGTTTGATCTTTCCGTTCATCATGACGCGATGCTGTTGCCGAACTGCATCGGGTATTGCTGGCATGAAGACAGTGACGTGCCACGCGCCCAGAGGGCGCCTGGCCGCACGCACCACGCGCCCACCGCGCATGAGCTGGTAGCCAGCCCCTGCCTTTCCCCCCCCCGCAATTTGTGGAAGTTAATTATTTGTATCACAGTCAGCAGCGCTAGGGTAGCTCCACTTGCGGGCTGGTTGCCGCCGAAGTAGGCGGAATTGTGCGGCAAAGAGCTACCCTGTTTGGTAGGATGGGAGTGGGAGGGGCGACATGGGGTGGTCGCGTGTGTGGGGGAGGATCAGCAGTAACCTCTTGGCCCGATGACGTCGACGACGACGACGCCGCCGACGACGGCGACGACGATGACGCCGACGACGACGCCGACGACGACGCCGCCGACGACGACGACGACGACGACGTCGACGCCGATCACGACGACGACGCCGACGCCGACGCCGACGCCGACGCCGACGCCGACGCCGAAGACGACTACGACCACGACGGCGACGGCCGCGGCGGCGCTGGCGGCGGCGGCGACGACGACGACGCCGACGACGACGACGACGATGACGTCGACGACGACGACGCCGCCGACGACGACGACGACGACGACGTGCCGACGACGACGAGACGCGACGACGACGACGACGTCGATGTCGACTCCGATGCCGACGCGACGCCGACTCCGACGACGCGACGCCGACGCCGACGCCGACGACGACGACGACGTCGACGACGACGACGACTACACTACGACGCCGACGACGACGACGACGCGACGCCGACGACGACGACGACGACGACGGGACGGCGCGGGCGCTGGCGGCAGCGACGACGACGCCGCCGACGACGACGACGACCACGACGACGACGATGACGACGACGCCGCCGCCGACGACGGCGACGACGCCGACGACGCCGACGACGACGACGCCGACGACGATGACGACGACGTCGACGACGACGACGACGACGCCGACGATTACGACGACCACGACGACGATGACGATGACCTCGACGACGACGACGACGCCGCCGACGGCGACGACGACGACGACGCCGACGACGACGCCGACGACGACGACGTCGACGTCGACGCCGACGCCGACGCCGACGCTGACGCCGACGCCGACGACGACGGCGGCGGCGGCGCTGGCGGCGGCGGCGACGACGACGACGCCGACGACTACGACGACCACGACGACGACGATGACGTCGACGACGACGACGCCGCCGACGATGGCGACGACGACGTCGACGCCGACGACGACGCCGACGACGACGACGACGACGTCGACGTCGACGCCGACGCCGACGCCGACGCCGACGCCGACGCCGACGACGACGACGACGGCGACGGCGCGGCGCGCTGGCGCGCGCGACGACGACGACGCCGACGACTACGACGACGACGACGCGACGACGACGACGACGACGACGACGCCGCCGACGACGGCGACGACGACGCCGACGCCGCGCCGACGCCGACGCCGACGACGACGACGACGGCGACGGCGGCGGCGGCGCTGGCGCGGCGGCGACACGACCGCGCCGACTACGACGACGACTACGACGATGACGTCGACGACGACGACGCCGCCGACGACGGCGACGACGACGCCGACGCCGACGCCGACGACGACGACGACGACGCATACGGCGGCGGCTGCGGCGAAGGGCAGGGCGCCGCGCCCGCGGCGATCGCCCTGGGCCTCGCGGGCCTCTCCGCGGGCTTCTCCGCGCTGCCTCTGCGGGCGCTGCGGCCCGCGGGCGCTGGGACTCCGAGGCCTGCGGGTCGGCGCGGCCCGCGGGCGGCACCGCCACCGCCGCCGCCGCCGCCGCTGCCGCCGCCGCCGCCGCCTCCGCGCCCGCCGCCGCCGCCGTCGTCGTCGTCGTCGTCGTCGTCGTCGTCGTCGTCGTCGTCGTCGTCGTCGTCGTCGTCGTCGTTGTCGTCTTCGTCGTCTTTGTCGTCGTCGTCTTTCCGAGAATTTCGATTCGGATGTCGAATGCGTCTTTTTCCCCGTGGGATATTCTCGTCGCCGCGGCCGGACTCCCGTTTTGGACAACATGCAGTCCGAGAGTGGGTCGAGGGTCGATGCTTGACGGACGGGCTTGCAGATTCGGGCGTCGCAAACAAGTTTTGACGGCCGGTTTTCAACGTTTTTGGCTTATGCCTGCTGCTTCCTGGCCCCAAGACTGTCGAACACCGATTCGGGATCGCAAACTGTGCCTTGGGAGGGCGTCGACCCACGTCACGAACAACATCGCGACGTCGGGGCAGAGGGATCTTTGAGGGGCCAAGGTCGATCCCAGCGGATGATGTGAAGAGGAGGAGTGGAAGGAGGAAGAGGAGGAAGAGGAGGAGGACTTGTGCACACCCAAGGCGCTTCAACGATGTTGCAGTACACATTTCCTTGGGGTCTCCTCAGCATCGGTCTCTGCAGGACATTGTTTTCAGCGTGGGAAGTGCCCCCTTGGAAGGCAACCGTCCAAGAGTCTCCAATGACGCCAAAACGCAATTCATGGGGTCTCAACTGCGCGAATCAATCTGACTATTGCGTCCTGACAACCTAAGCGCCAGACCACCGGTCCTGGGACTTGAACACAATTCTATAGGACAGTTGCGGCCAGGCAGTCTTGAATAGTGCCAGAGCACAGTTCGAGGACTTCAGCCACACAAGTCCTTGAAACTGTTGCGAGTGTTAAAAGCGAATGTGCGCGGCGGTAAGGCGAGAGCCACATTGTGAAAACCACCCGTCTTCCATCCATGACATTGTTGCACAGTTTCAATACGAATGCGCGCGGCCCTAGAGCGAAAACCACATTCTGAAATCCGTCCGCTTTTCACCCTTGAAGCGGTTGCGCACTTTGCGACGAATGTGCGCGGTGCGAAGGCGAGCGCCGCATTTCAAAAAAAGAGGGGTCTTATTTTTTTGAAGCTGTGGCAAACTCCCCCAAAAGTGCTTGCACTTAGGGTTTCTTATGTGTGTTCGAATGAACTGGGAGAGGGGGGGTTGTCGGTCTGGCGGGTCCGTGCTCGCCGTCGTCGCCTCGTCGCCGCCTCGTCGCCGCCCGTCATCTGGGCGGGGTTGTCGGTCTGGCGGCTCCGTGCTCGCCGTCGACGCCCAATCGCCATTACGTATAGATTCTCTTTTTCAGAAGGTATTGAGATCTACCCGCCCCCACCGGACTTCACGGTTGCTTGTGAGGATTTGCAGTTTACATGTGATTTTGGCCCATCGCCCATCCGAGCTATAAACTCATACCATCCCAAGCAGGCCTGCGAATGTCCTGAACACAGATAAACAACACGGTTTTCTTACACCAGTTTTCAAAATTTGTTTGCGCGTGCGCTCGTGCGAGTTCTTAGCAAAACCATAGGGTTTCCACACTGCCATCGAGTTCTGCCAAGCGGCCCTCTCGCGCCGCAGGTCGAACTCACCCGAACGCCCTTGCACGCGTGCTGGGGGGGACACGATGCGTGTGAAATAATACTACGCTGGCCGTTTGCGCGCGTCGACCGCGCGGGTGTATCGAGCTCCTCCCAGAACGTTCATCACCGACGCGAGGACATCGTCATCGTTATCGCCGGCCGTGATCAACATTGGCGCCGTCATTGGCCTTGCCGTCGTCGGCGGCACCATTTTTACCATAATCGCCACTCTCATCATCGTGTCTACCGTGGTCGGCGTCGCCATGATACCGCGCCCGCCCACGTCACCGAATTGCGCTGCAGTGCCCGCTGGGGAGTGCCCAGCGTTCAGCGCCACCGCGGCCGCGTCGGTCGCGCCGCACTAACTGGCCGCTGCGCGCGCGAGCATGCGCGGGCTAGCGCGGCCGCAGAGGTGCACCAGTCAACGCCAAGCACTCCTCGCAGTCGCCGCCGCACGAGCAGTGGAGTTGACAGCTCACTTCGAGCACTGGTGAATTACACCGCGTAAATTGCACCACGTAGAACACGCAACCTATTTTGCGCAACCTATATTGCGCACCGCATAGATCACACAAAACTAAAACTGCTTCTCCTTTCGAAACAGGAATTCGGATCTACCCCCTGGGGTTATCCATTCCCCCTGGGGATGTGCATTTTGAATATGATTCTGCCCCGTGGTCCATTCTAAAGTTGAGTTCGTACCATCCCAGCCAGGCCCGTTCGACCCTCCTTCATCTTCCTCTAATATTTTTTGCGCACACGCTCTCGTTTACCAAAACGCATTCATTTCAAACAAACCCCTGCGACAAATGCAACGCAGTGCGCGCGCGTTGCCGCGCGCGCGTGCTGAAATCCTTCAGCAATATCAGGTTTCGCACTGATTCCCAGATCGAGTTTTTCGAAAACATAACAGGCAATTGTTTTGCTCTTCTGTGTCGAAGGGGAGTTTGCGCGTGCTCTTGCGAATGCTGAAAAAAAGACCGCGCTTCTCTTGTCGAGGACGATCAATGAAAAAGGGGACAGGTTGCCAAACAATTTCCAGATGTCTAAAACATGCTTCTAACATGTCTTCACAGTGGAGGGACATGCTTTAAACATTTCCGAACATTTTAAACATGTAGAAATCTTATGGAAGACATTTGTAGTTCAACCATAGAACAGTTGCCGTGGTGGTATCCGCAACACTTCCCACCATTTTTCACCACATATGACCAAGCGGTCCGCGCGCGCATGTCGAAGTCATTCGAACGCTTTTGCGCGCGTGTTGGGGGTGGTGGTGGTGGCACGGCCCCTGCTAAACAGTACGATGCGGGTTGTTCGCGCACACCGTCCACGCGTGCATGTTGAAATCCTTCCAAGATCTTCATCGCCGACACGTTGACCGCATCACCGTCATCGGCGGGATCATCATTGGTGCCGTTATTCGCCTTGCCATCGTCATTGTCATCTTCCCATCACCGCTACTATCATCATCGTGTCTGCCGATGTCGACGTCGCCATGGTACCGCGCCAGCCCGGGCTACGGACTCGCAATGAAGTGCCCGCGTGTCAGCGCGGCCTGCGAGATGCGCTGGGGAGTGCCCAACGGTCAGTGCCACCGCGGCCGCGTCGGTCGCGCCAGAATAGCTGGCCGCTCTGCGCGCGAGCCTGCGCGCGCTAGCGCGGCCGCATCGATGTGCCAACCAGCGCCGAGCAGTCATCGCAATCGCCGCCGCCTGGTTTTCCAAACCAATTAGCTGGTTGGTGGATGGGATGATTGGGCGAGCAGTAGAGTTGACAACATCCATTTCGGCAGGGTGACCTGGATGACATTAGTAGATTGCACACCATATCGAAGACGCCTACGGCGAATCACCGCCGCCCCCTGCCTTTTTGGAAGCGCCTATGTGGCCGAACGTTGAGGCCAGACCTGCCAAGCTATCGGACCACGTGTTCCCCGAATCGGTTTGGAAAGCCTTCGGGGAACACGTGGGCATCTTGAAGGTCATCTTGGCCGTCTTGGAGGCCTCTTGGGCAAGCTTTGGGCGATCTTTGGGGCTTTTTGGGCCGTCTCGGGCCAGCTTCGAGCCAACTTCGGCCATCTTGGTGGGTTCCTGGCACGTCTGAAGCCGTCGGAAGCCGTTTGGGGGGCCTCTATGGGCCGACTTGGGGCCCGCTTGGAATGCTCCAGGGCCGTCTTGGAGGCCATCTTGGGCGTCTTGGAGGCCATCTTGGGCGTGTTGGAGGCCTCTTGGGCCCTCTTGGGGCCCTCTAGGGGCCATCTTGGAGGCCACTTGGGCCATCATGGGGCTCTCTTGGGGGCCTCTTGGGCGATCTTGGGGGCTTCTTGGGCCGTCTTGAGCCGTCGGAGAGCCGAAAAGGCGCAAATGCCAAAATCCTTCAAAAACCAAGGGAAAATCAATGATTTTGGCCTCTTCGGACTCTCCTGGAGGACCTCTTGGAGGCCTCTTGGGCCGTCTGGGAGGCCTCTGGGGGGCCTCTTGGGCCGTCTTGGGCCGTCTTGGACTCTCTTGGGCCGTTTTGGAGGCCGTCTTGGACCATCTCGGGCGGACTTGGAGGCCATCTTGGGCCATCTTCGCGATTTTTTTGAGGATGTCCCGAGCGAAACGGCCGTTTTTGGGCATTGACAGACGCATTTTGGGAAACGCGCGGGTGGCCGGCGGGACGGGCCGAAGCCCACTGGGGAGTTCTTTCAGAAAAAGAACCAAAACCAAAACTGAATCATCCAGCACGCCGTGCACCCCTGCAAGCAGGGGGCGGCGGATCTACGGGCCTTCGGCCCATCCCGCCAGCGTGCCCAGATTGTGCGCCAGAGTCCTGCGGGATGTTTTTTAAGATTTCTTTGGGGCGCTCTATGGGGCCCCTTGGCGGCAATTTGGGTGTCTTTTCGTGGGTCTCAGGGGGTCCTTTTGGGAGCCTCTTGTGGCTTCTTGGGGGCATCTTGGAGGCCTCTCGGGACCTCTTGGGGGCCTCTTTGGGGCTTCTTGCGGCCTCCTGGGGGCCTCTCGGGGCAGAGGGCTCGACATTTCCGTTCGGGTCTCCCCTCTGCCCTCCTGGAATCCGTCTTACGGGGGGCCTCTTGGGCCGTATTGGGGGTTTCTTGGGCCGTCCTCGGGCCCTCTGGGGCAGTTTCCGGGCCCTGTTGGATGCCAATGGTGCAGTATTGGGGCGATGTTGGGGGCCTCTTCATTTGTGCTGGAACGTCGGGGAACCGACAACGCGAGAACGCCCCACACCTTTCAATTATTTGAGGGAATTTATGTTTTTGCCTCTTGGGGCGTCTTTGGGGCATTTTGACATGTCTTTAGACCGCCTGGTGCGTCTTGGAGCGATTCTTCGGCGACGCGGGGCCCTCTTGGCCCGTTTTAGGCAGGATTTCGGGACTGAGGCTCCAGGGGATTGCGCATGGGACCCGGGGACACTTCAACTCGTGCCTCGCAGGCCCGGCAGCGGATTTCGCGCCACGCAGGTTGTACAACATCTGTTGCATCACGTCGACTGCGCCACACATATTGCACCACGCAGATTGCTTCGCATATACTGCGCAACGCACATTGATGGAAACAGCGTTCTTGGTCCACGCTGGCTATCGTTTAGAAGGAGCAGATGGAGGAGGAGGAGGAGGAGGAGGAGGAGGAGGAGGCGGAAGAGGGCAACGATGGGGCTAGAGGACGAGGATGCGTATGCGGATGCGCAGGAGGAAGAACCACGAGGAGGAGGATGCCGGGTATGGAGAGATGGAGAACGGAACAGCGGAATGTGAGAGAAGGTTGGCGGACGGGTGGGGCATGACGAAGACGATGAGGATGAGGACGGGGGGAGGACGGGGGTGTCCAAGAGGTGAGTGAGGACCGTGTGTGTGTGTGTGTTTGTGTGTGTGTGTGTGTTTGTGTGTGTGTGTGTGTGTGTTTGTGTGTGTGTGTTGTGTACGTGTGTGTGTGTGTGCGTGTGTGTGTGTGTGTGTGTGTGTGTGTGTGTGTGTGTGTGTGTGCGGGTGTGTGTGTGTGTGTGTGTGTGTGCGATGTCCTGGCTGGGGCCATGGCATCTCCCTGTTTTCATGGCCTTCTTGGCCTTTTCCTTCTTCTTGTCTCCTTTGCCTTCTTGTTTCCAGACGTCCCCTCCATCCCCTCGTCCGCGCACATGCCTGGGGTCATGGTGTGCTCGTCCCGATATCTTGTGTCCCCCCTCTTCGGCGAACCCAGGAGGAAGAGGATGGCGGTGGAGGGGAGAGGGAGGAGGAAGAGCAAAAACATTGAGAGGGGTAGGCAGGAGGTCAATGGGGGACAAGTGCTGGTGATGATGGGGAGGATGATTGACCTGGAGCACAAGGACGGGGCGGAAGGACCGCCTCGGTACCTCGTGAAGGTCTGAGCACGTCAGGTTGGTATAGCGGGACCCGTGGCAGAGAAGAAAGGCCGCAACTACACCGGTGCAGCCAAGGAGGACAAGGAGCAGGGGAAGAGGGGACACACGAGCAGGGGTGTGAGAAGCAGGCGAGGACGAGGAGTGGATGAGAAAGTGCAGGAGGATTCTGAAGAGGTGCAATGGAAGGGGAAGGGGAAGGGGAAGGGGAAGGAGGAAGGGGGAAGGGGGAAGAGGCGAGGATTAGGAGCTGTATGAAGGAAGAAAAGGCACAGGAGGAGCATGAGGAGAAGGAAGAGGAAGAGGAGCAGACGAGAACGGTGAGGGGTGGGAAGGAGGGATGACGAGGAGGAGGGGGGAAGGGAGGGGAGGAGGGAGGATCAGCGTAAGGTCGAGTAGGCTGAGGGGGAGGAGGGGGGCGAAAGGACGAGTAGGCTGAGGGGGAGGAGGAGGATGAGGAGGCGGACGAGGAGGAGGAGGACCAGTGTAGACCCAAGACTCATCAACGGTGTTGGAATAATCTGCCCCTCCAAGCTCCCTCTTGATAGGCCAAATACGAGGGTTCATTTCCACTAGGGAAGTGCTCCTTCGGGCGACATCCGTTTGAAAGTCCTGAAGCGTGCCAAGACATCATTCTGGGGACTTCAACGCGACGGATCAACTTGATTGTTGCGTCTAGACGACCCTCAATTGTGCTAGAACGCTCTGCTTTGGACTGCAACCCCACCATAATCGTTCCAACACACCGTTTCTGGTACGTTAACCATAGGAGCCCCTGATTTTCTTGCAAATGTTTAAGACGAGTGTGCGCGGCGCTAAGGCGAGAGCCACACATTGAAAAGGAGGCGCCCTCAATCCCAGAAACTCTTGCAGACTTTTAAGACGAATGTGCGTGGCGCGAAGGCGAAAGCAAGATTAAACAAAACGCCCGCCCTGAATCCGTGAAGCTCTTGCATATTTGAGAAAGACGAATGTGCGCGGCGCGAAGGCCAGAGCCACACTTTGAAAACGACCCGCCCTCAATTTGTGAAGCTCTTTGGAACTTGTAATGCCAATGTGTGTGGCGCGAAGGCGAGAGCCACATTTTGGAAGCGACCCGCCCTCCAGTTGTGAAACTGTTGCCAACTTCTCAGCTTCAGGATAATGGCTGGTAAGGAAGCCTCGCGCGAAACGCCCAGTCCGCCCTCGCGATTGGACTAGGGGTGCGACAGGAAGGAGTTATTAATTAGGAAAAGGAATGGAGGAGAAAGAGGAGGAGGAGGAGGAGGAGGACGAGGAGGACTAGGAGGAGGAGGAGGTGGAGGTGGAGGAGGAGGAGGAGGAGGAGGAGGAGGAGGAGGCGGGGAGGGGGAGGAGGAGGGGGAGGAGGAGGAGGAGGAGGAGGAGGAGGAGGAGGAGGCGGGGGAGGAAGAGGAGGATGAGGAGGAGGGAGGAGGAGGAGGAGGAGGAGGGGGAGCAGGAGGAGGAGAGGAGGAGGAGGATGAGGATGAGGATGATGATGATAGTCAGGATGATGATGATGATGATGATGATGATGATGATGATGATGATGATGCTGATGCTGATGCTGATGCTGCTGATGATGATGCTGCTGATGATGATGATACTGATGATAATGATGATGGTGATGATGGTGATGATGATGTTGATGATGTTGATGATGATGATGATGATGATGATGATGATGATGATGATGATGATGATGATGATGATGATGATGATGATGATGATGATGATTAAGATGATGATGATGATGATGATGATGATGATGATGATGATGATGATGATGATGATGATGATGATGATGATGATGATGATGATGATGATGATGATGATGATGATGATGATGATGATGATGATGATGATGATGATGATGATGATGATGATGGTGATGATGATGAGGAGGAGGAGGAGGAGGAGGAGGAGGAGAAGGAGGAGGAGGAGGAGGAGAAGGAGGAGAAGGAGAACGAGGAAGAGGAGGAGGAGGAGGAGGAGGAGGAGGAGGAGGAGGAGGAAAAATAATAATAATAATAATAATAATAATAATATTAATAATAATAATACTAATAATAATAATATTAATAATAAGAAGAATAAGAAGAATAATAATAATAATAATAAGAAGAAGAAGAAGAAGAAAAAGAAGAATAATAATAATAATAAGAAGAAGAAACATAAGAATAATAATAATAATATTAATCATAATAATAATACTAATAACAATAATAATAAGAATAAGAAGAATAATAAGAAGAATAATAAGAATAAGAAGAATAATAATAAGAAGAATAATAAGAATAAGAAAACTAAGAATAAGAAGAAGCAGAATAATAAGAATAATAAGACGAATAAGAATAATAATATTAATAATAAGAATAATAATATTAACAAGAAGAAGAAGAAGAATGATAAGAATAATAAGAAGAAGAAGAAAAAGAAGAGTAAGAAGAATAAGAAGAAAAATAAGAATAATAATAATAATAAAAAGAAGAAGAATAATAATAATAATAATAAGGAGAATAATAAGAAGAAACAGAAGAAGAAGAGGATGAGGAGGGGGAGGAGAAGTAGGAGGGGGAGCTTGCCCCGCCCGCAGGCATCCGCGAAGCCCTCGCTGCAGGGTCGCGGCGCGCGTCAGCCACAGGGTGACGCTGGAGATGCCTGGGGGCAAGGCGTCCAACGCTCCTCGCGCGCGCGTCCGCCTCCAGAAGCCTGCGTGAGACGCGCTCTCCTGAGCGCCCCTCCCCCCCCCCCCCCGCGACACGCACGGCCGCCCTGCCCAAGACAGCCTCGCTCTGGCGCGGCGCGTGGTGATCTTCCCCCTCATGCCTACGCTGTCCCGCTGCCCCCTCTCGTGCCTTGTCGTGCCCCTGCGATGGACCACGCTCGACGCACAGGAGGCTCACGCGAGAGATGGGCAGACGCCGTCAGCGCCATCGTCGACGACGGAGTGCTTCACCAACGCTGGCGCCAAGACGCCGTCGCGCAGTCCACTTGGTGGACCGGCCTCCAGGCCGCCTCTTGCGTGTCGCTCGTTCCTGCGTGCACGGTCCGGCACAATCAGAGCGCTGCGCTGGCCAAGCAGTGGGCACGTGAGTCGAAGTGCAGCCCCGCGCCACCCCGTCCCAGCCGCCAGGGGCTTGGTCAGCAGTAGCTAGCATCGCAGCGGGTGCCGACTACTCTGCAGCGTCGCGACCGCTCTCCGAAGAGTGAGGAAGAGGCGGAGCGCGACCGCAAATGTCGTTGTCGAAGAGAGTATGTTGGATTTTGCGACGTTGGCAGTTCGTCGAGCCAGAACCTGTCATGTTGCACTCGGTCGCCGTCCTTTTGCTGCTGCTCCTCCTCCTTCTCCTCCCCTCCTCTATCCTTCTCCCCCTTCCTGCTTTAGCAATTACACAATCTGAGTGCTATGATGTTCTCTCGCTCCTCTGATGCTGCGCGATGGTGCCGCCGCCTTGATTTCAGAGCTGTGGTTTTCAGTGTGGAATTGTTCGATCGGAATGTTGTCGGCCCTCCTCCTGCAGCGCTGGTCACATTCCAGGATCGTCGCTTTGTTCGTGTCGCTCAGACTGGCGCGGGCCACATTGCGGGATCCGATTCTTTCCTCCTCGTTATCGCCCTCTGCTTGTCCCTCCTCCGCCTTTCCCTGGTCCCCCTGCTCGTCCTAATCCTCCTGCTCCTGCTGCTGCTCCTACCCTTCATTCCTCATCCTTCTCCTCATCATTCTGCTCCTCCTCCTCCTTCTCCTCCTTCTCCTCCTCCTCCTCCTCCTCCTCCTCCTCCTCCTCCTCCTCCTCCTCCCCTCCGATGTGCAAAGCCCCCTTCCCTGATTGCGCATCACACGATGGCACCTTTTGGGTGCAAAGTCTCCTGGGACACTGCACTTAGTTGGCCGATGCACTCGAACTCAGCGAGATGAAACGGATAGGCGGGTGTGAGGAGTAGGATGTCACATATGGCGCGAGCGGCGCGGGCGCGGCGGCCGCCGAGACCGCCGCTGCGGCCGTAGCTGAGGTCGCCTAGCGGCACCTGCCTCGCGGACGGTGCGGAAGGTGAAGTTCGAGGGAGGGCCTTAGCGAGGAGAAGGAGGAGGAGGAGGAGAAGGAGGAGGAGCAGGAGGAGGAGGAGGATGACGATGACGATGACGAGGAGGAGGAGGAGGAGAAGGAGGAGGAGGAGGAGGAGGAGGAGGAGGAGGAGGAAGAGGTCTAGAAGGAGGAGGAGGAAGTGGAGGATGGTGAGGAGGGTGTGGACGTGGAGGAGCGGGTCGACAGAAACCTCGGGTGGCGATCAGGTGGTCGAGTTCGACTGCCCGGAGACGAGCACGATCCTCGGTGAGGCCAGCGGTGCAGGGTGAGACGCAGACTGCGAAGAGGACGGGATCTCGAGGAGGAGCCAAGCCTCTGACGTCCAGAAAAAGAGCGCGTCATATTGTTTGGTTGTTTGGTTGTTTGTTTGTTTGTTTGTTTGCTTGTTTGTTTGCATGTCTGCTTGTTTGGTGTGTGTGTATGTGTTGTGTATGTGTATGTGTATGTGTATGTGTGTGTGTGTGCGTGTGTGCGTGCGTGCGTGTGTGTGTGTGTGTGTGTGTGTGTGTGTGTGTGTGTGTGTGTGTGTGTGTGTGTGTGTGTGTGCGTGTGTGCGTGTGCGTGCGTGTGTGTGTGTGTGTGTCGTGCGTGTGTGTGTGTGTGTGTGTGTGTGTGTGTGTGTGTGTGTGTGTGTGTGGTGTGTGTGTGTGTGGTGAGAGGAGTGCGTGCGTGCGTGCGTGCGTGCGTGCGTGCGTGCGTGCGTGCGTGCGTGCGTGCGTGCGTGCGTGTGTGTGTGTGTGTGTGTGTGTGTGTGTGTGTGTGTGTGTGTGTGTGTGTGCGTGTTGCTTGCATTTTTGTGGTTGGGATTAGTTTTACCTGCGAACATGCTTACAAGGTTTGGCGTATGATGGTGAGTCCGTTTGCGGGCTTCCAGGCCCTCAAGCAGCAATCCGCATCTATCGAGGGCCAGGGCCCGCCCAGCGAACACGTCACGACGTCCGAGGTGTGGGGTTGAAAGCTGCGCAGACGCTCCCCGTTCCGTTTCTGCCGCTTTCGTTGTCCTCCAGGGGAAGGGTCCCGTTCTTCTGGGCCTCCTAGATGGGGTCGGAGTAAATGGGGTCGGAGGATCGCGCCGCATAGCGGATGCATCAGCGATGCATCGGCGACGCGGCTCGATGAGGGGAACGCTTTTCTCCGCGCCGACGTCGCCGATCATCGGCGATGCATCGACGACGCATCGGCGATGCGGCGAGACCCTCCGACCCGATCTACTCGGAGCCCATCTGGGAGGCCCCTAGGCTCTAGTTCCAGCAACCGGGGCTCGACGAGGGCCTCCAGACGGCGGCGGGGGTGCCCCCCCCCCAACGTGGCTCCCTCCGCAGGCCGCGCCCGTGGCTCGAGGGAGCACGGGCCCCTCCTTGGCGCTCCGAGCAGGACGGCCGAGCGGGCTCCGCTGTCCTGGGGCCCCCCAACCCCCCATGGGGCGCGCGCTGCGGGCCCAGGGGGGCCCGCGAACGGGCGGTCCTCCTCCTCCTCCTCCTCCTCCTCCTCCTCCTCCTCCTCCTCCTCCTCCCTCCCCCTCCCCCCCCCCCTCTATCCTCTATCCTCTATCCTCCCCTCCTCCTCTCCTCCTCCTCCCCACCTCCTCCATCCTCCTCCTCTTCCTCTTCCTCTCCTCCTCTCCCCTCTTCTCCTCCTCCTCCTCCTCCTCCTCCCTCCTCCTCCATCTCCTCCTCTCTCCTTCTCCTCCTTTTCCCCTCCTCCCCCTCCCCCTCCCCCTCCCCCTCCTCCTTCTCCTCCTCCTCCTCCTCCTCCTCCTCCTCCTCCTCCTCAGCCTCCTCATCCTTCTCGAGGGATCGAGGCTGCAGAGGGCGCCTGCACAGGCGCCAGTGTCATTCTGGGCCCGGGGTGGTGTACAGAGTCTGTACTACAGACCCTCCTAATCTCGGCCAGGAGGGCGTGTTCACCAATCCAGGGCCCAAGATGGCCCTGGCCAGGCATTGTGGTGGTGGTGTATGCATGCGGGGTCGAGTCGCCTCCCCCAAATCGCCACTGCATCGCCAGGTGGGCCGTCGGGTCCCCACCGTACTGGGGAGCCTGCAGTCTTGCCATCAGGGGGCCTGCCTGCGACCCGTCGGCAATGTACTGCCGATTCCAGACCGCCGCCGTCTTCGCCGTTGGCCCCACCGTCGTCGTCGTCGTCGTCGTCGTCGTCGTCGTCGTCGTCGTCGTCGTCGTCGTCGTCGTCGCCGTCGCCTCCACTGTCGGCGTCGCCGCCTTCCTTGTCGCCGCCACCGCCGCCGTCGCCGTCGCCGTCGCCGCCGTCACCGTGTTCGTCGTCGTCATTGCCGCAGGGGGCGACGGGGAGGGGAGGAGGAGCGCCTCTTTGGCGCTTTTTGCGGGCCTTCACCGGGCACTCCTGACGCACGGTGTGCAGTGGCGCCGTTCGAGCTCGGCTCGCTCCCAGGGCACCGGCGGCCTCTGCGCTTCCGTCCGAGGCGCTGGGAGAGGAAGCGGTGTGGAAGGGGAAGCGGAAGCGCTCGGCGCCGAGAGGCAGAGTGGGCAGAGGATGGAGAGGAGGATGAGCTCCAGGCGCGTGCCTGGACCCAGCCGCATCAGATGGAGCCCGCTGGGTCCAGGCAACTCGCTCGGGGGCGCAGCGGGATGGGGCACGTCAGTTCGTCATCGTCTAACCGATCTCCATCCTCACTGGGCCATGGTATCTCAGCCCGCTGGGTCACCGGCCCAGGTGGGAGTAGATTCCACAAGGCTCGAATGGACTAGCATACATATATATATATATATATATATATATATATATCTTCCCACCTAGGGTGGTAATTCGGCCAGTGGGCCAAGGCCACGCCAGTTGGGATTGGGATCGAACAAACAATGCAGATTTGTCTTTTCGCGTGGTATAGTAGATTTTCAGTTTGTCCTTTCATGCCGCCCCCTCTCCGCTCCCCGTCCGAGGGTGTTCGCGGTTCGGTCGGTTCGGCTGCGCCGCAGTTGCTTGCGCTCGGCTGGTTCGGTTCGGTCGGTTGTCGTGTCGTTGCCGCATTGCTGCGCCCTTCCAGGCTGCTCGCGGCCTGCCGATTTCGGTTTCGTCGTCGGTCCGGTCGGCCTCCGGTTATGCTGTCGCCACAGGCGGCTCTACCACCCCTCCCAGGCCTGCGATGCCCCTGGTCTTCTTCCCGGTGCGCGGGGCCTCGGAGGCCTCGCCCCCTCCCGGGGGCACCCGTTCTCTCTCGCCCCGCACGGCTTTTTTATTCCGGACGGCCCCCCTTCGGCCCGAGAACGGCGCCCTATATCGGAGGCCGCAGCCCCGCGAGGCCAGCTGGTGCCCGGCGTGGAGTCTCCGAGACACGACGCCGGAGGTCTGAGCCGGCGGCGCGCAGGAGGTTCGGATGTTGCTGAAAGCGTCCCTTGCCCGAGGTGCCCCGAGCTTCTCGCTCCAGTTTGGAGCCCCTGGGGCCCTCCGGGCCTCGTGAGGGGTGCCCTGGCGGCCGTCTGGGCCACCCCGAAAATCCTGGGGGCACCTTGGGCCAGGGGTACTTCTAGCAACACCCGAGAGGTGGGTGGCGCGGGGGCGTGGCCCTCGAAGTAGGCGGAGGTTCTCTCTTCCGAGAAGCCGGGGGCCTTCTCAGAGGGGCCCTGGACGCTGGCGAGAAGGCTTCCGAGAAGCTGGGGATGGCCTCCAGCAGGCCCCCCTGCCCTCCAAGAAGCCGCCCCCCCCCCCTGGGGCTTCGCGAGAGGCCGCGCCCTCGCGCACCCCCCTCCCCTGCGCGCGCCGCCGGGCCGGGGCTTCGGTCCGCTCCGCCGGTGCTCGCACGGGTGGGCGGCCGCAGCGGACACCGCCTGTCTCCTCCCTGCCGTGCCCCGAGGGAGGGGGCGCGCGGGCGGAGTGCAGAGCTGGCGCGAGGAGAAACGATGGCCCTGTCGGTCGGCGGCGGGCGATGGGGGAGAGGTGAGGAGGAGAGGAGGCCTTCTCGGAAGGCGACGGGGCCTCCCAGAGGCCACCTGGCCTTCCGAGAAGTTTTTGTGGCGTCTTCTGGGGCCCGTGGTCGGCATCACCCAAGCATACTGACACGATGTGTGTGTGTGTGTGTGTGTGTGTGTGTGTGTGTGTCGCCCCCTTCCGCGCCCCCCCCCGGGGCGACGCGCGCGCCCAGGAATCTCGCAGTGCATGCTCGCTGGCGGGTGCTTCCTGGCCACATCGCTTGGGCAACGTCATGCCATGAGGCACTCGTGCAGCATGCTCGGCTCGGGCGTGCGCATCCCAAGGGGAGCGCCTCGTACTAGTCACTAGCATGTCCTTCTGCGTCCAACGTGGTGCGGGCGCACGGGACCCGGGCTTCCCCACTGGGCGGAAGCAGATGGGGTCGGAGGCTCGCTGGCGGGTGCTTCCTGGCCATATCGCTTGGGCAACGTCATGCCATAAGGCACTTGTGCAGCATGTTCGGTTCGGGCCTGCGCATCCAAGGGGAGCGCCTCGTACTAGCAACCAGCATGTCCTTCTGCGTCCAACGTGGTGCGGGCGCACTGGACCCAGGCTTCTCCCATGGGCCGGAGCAGATGGGGTCGGAGGCTCGCGCCGCACCGCCGATGCATCGGCGATGCGGCGCGATCTGGAGCCCGTTCCTCTCCATCCCGCTGTCACCTGCGCGTCGCAGACTGTCGGCGATCCTCCGACCCCATCTGCTTCAGCCTCGTGTGGGGGGCCCTCACAGGAGTCTCCCCAGTCGCCGCGCCTGGTTGGCACGCCTGAATTGGCCTTCCTCCCACCCCGCGCTTCGGCCCGAAGCCGCGCACGCAGGGGCCACTCTTGCTTGCCGGGGGTTCAAACACAGGGTCCAGAGGGACGGGGCCCTCGGGATAGGAAAGGGCTTCCACGTGGAAGTGGCGCTGCTCAAGGCCTCCTCGCCCTGGGGCCCCATGTCTCGGGGCCCCACCTTTGAAATGCCGAGCCCAGTGCCTGAGGCCACTCCTGCGTGCAGCCGTGGAGGGCCGAGGGAGCACCCGAAGCGTACGGGCCGGCCAGGCAGAAGAGCTGGGCTACGAGCTCCCGTACTCCTGCCTCACCGGCCAGTGCTCGGTTCGGCCCCAGCTCTGCCGCGGTGGAGCCAAGGTTGGAAGAGTGGAGGTCCGCCCAGGAAACTGCAGAGAGAGAAAGGGAGAGGGAGGGATCTCGGGGGAGGAGGAGGGACAGAGCCCGAGGCAGGCCAGGGCGGAGGCAGGCAAGCAGGCAGGCAGGCAGGCAGGCGCAGGGGACAGAGTGGCAGACCGACTGCAAACGTGGTGCAGCTAGGCTGGTAGGCTGACAGAGAGGCATTTACTCGAGGGGCCTACAGTCGAGGCTGATTAGTGGGTCGACCCTGCCAAATCAAGGGCACCCTCGTGTCCTGTGTTTCGCGACCCATGCCTTCCACATTCCCATGGCAATGTGGCCCTCGGAGGGGTTTTGTGTCCTGTCGCGTTGCACTCTCCAATCATCCCCGACAGTACAGATACGGGACAACAGAGGCAGAGCGCGCGCATCACACCCGCACGCTTCTAGGATCGCCTCCACAATAATCAGAGAGAACTGCTGTTCTCACACAGACCGACGGCAGGACGGGAACGCACATGTGGCAGACACTCGGGCAGACGAGCAATGATTCAGGGAGAGGGATGGAGAGAGAGAGAGAGAGGAAACTTGCGATACATATGTTCATGTATGTGTGCGTAAGCAGAGATGTGCAGTGGCACGCACATGCACATATGTATCCATCAGCCTTCGGCCGATCCCGCCGCCGTGCCTGGGTTGTGTGTGTGTGTGTGTGTGTGTGTCAGAGTTCGCGGGGATCCTCCTTGGGGTTTCTCAGGAGCGCTCTTGGGGGCCTCTTGGGGGCAGTTTGTGGGCCGCTTGGGAGCCTCTTGGGGGCCCCTTGGGAACCTCTTGGGGGCCTCTTGGGACTTTCTGGGGGCTTCTTGGTGTCCTCTTGGTGGCCTCTTGGAGGCCTCCTGTGGGACTCTTGTGGGCCTCTTGTGGGCCTCCTGTGGGCCTCCTGTGGGCCTCCTGTGGGCCTCTCGCGGCCAAGGGCTCGAAATGTTCGTTCGGGTCTCCCGCATGGGCACCCTCTTGGAGCCGTCGTAGGGGCCTCTTGGGCCGTCTTGGGGCCCACTGGGGCCGTTTTGGAGCTCTCTTGGATGCCTTTTGGGCTGTCTTGGGGCGATCTTGGGGGTAACTTGGGCCGTCTTGGAGCGTCGGGAAGCCGAAAAGACGAGGACGCCAAAATCTTTCAAAGACCCGAGTAGCACCGATGGGAGGAGGTAGGATGGGAGGAGGTGGGGCGCATGCGCGCAGCCAGGCTGGCTTTGCGTGGGTGCCCGCAGCCACACCACGCAGGCATGTGAGCTGGCTTGTAGCTGGGCGGCGCAGCGTAGGCAGGCTGACAGGCCAACGAATCCGACAGACTTGCACATCAAACCGGAAGAGCTGGCGCGCGACGCGACCCAAAGACGCAAGAAGGACGAAGAGGACGCCGCCAGGCTTTTCTGCGCGTCGTGTTCGCTCACGTGCTTCACAGTGAGTGCGACCCGCCCGGGCCCTGCTGAACGCGAGGTCACGCGGCGACCTGCGGTGCGTGCGCCATTGGGGGTTGCTCCCCGCGGTGGCCTGAGGACAGGACTGGCCGTTTCGGGTAGACTCAAGCAGGAGGAGGAGGAAGAGGAGGAGGAGGAGGCAGGAGGAGGAGGAGGAGGTGGAGGAGGAGGAGGAGGTGGAGGAGGAAAAGGAGGAGGAGGAGGAGGAGGAGGAGAGGGAGGAGATCGATGCCCCCCAGGTGTGCACTGGAAGGGTCCTCGACGGCGGCGAGGTCGACCAGTCTAAGCAGACGTTCTTGACGGAAGAGCAGGCTGTGGCCTGGTTGGTGGTGTAGCACACTGGTTGTAAGATTGGAGCTCTTATGGCCAGCGTTTCGCCGTGGGGTATTGATCATTATTCGCATTGTGCAGTCGCTATTTTGGTTGTTGTTATAGTCGTTGTTGCTGTTGTTGCTGTGGATATTATAATTCTTCTTTTTCGTGTTGTTGTGGTGGTTGTTGGCATCGTGTAGTTTTTTGGTGATTATCGTTGCGGTTATTGTTGTCAATGTTGTTGTTGTTGCTGCTGCTGATGCTGCTGTTATCGTTATTGTTGTTGTTGTTGCTGTTGTTGTTGCTGTTGCTGTTGCTGTTGCTGTTGCTGTTGTTGTTGCTGCTGTTGTTGTTGTTGTTGTTGTTGTTGTTGTTGTTGTTGTTGTTGTTGTTGTTGTTGTTGAACTCTCATTTCTGAAAATAATTGTTGTTGATCCTTATTGTTGATCCCTCTCACCGGTGCATGTTGTTTTTTCTCAGTGAAAGTGTGCCCCTCGACGCTCGCCCCCTGTTTTTTGACAAGGAAAGTCTTCCTGGTCAAACTGGGCCCTTGGCCCTCTGGACTACAACAACAACGGCTCCCGCCTGAGACTTCCTCCAAATTTACTCAGGACCCCCCCTCCAGTCTGAGACTTCTCCCAACTTGCTCAGGAACGGCGCTCCAGCTTGAGACTTCCTCACAATTTAGTCTGTGTTAAACTGCGTTGGTGCTCCCCAGGACTACAACAACAACGGCTCCCGCTTAAGACTTCCTCCAACTTTACTCAGGACCCCCGCTCCCGCCTGAGACTTCCTCCCAATTTACTCAGGATCGGCGCTCCCGCCTGTGACTTCCTCGCAATTTAGTCAGGACCCCCTCTCCCGTCTGAGGCTTTCTGTAAGATTCCTTGCGCTTTAGTCTAGACCCCCGCTCCCGCCAGACATCCCCTTTCCAGGAATTGCGTTCTCGCCTGTGACTTTTTCGCAGTTTATTCAGAAATCGCGCCATCTACGCTCAGGCACCACGCTCGCGCTAAGGACGCCGTCACACTTTACTCAGGAATCGCGCTCTCGCCCTACTCAGGCATCCCGCTTGAATGTCCCACCCGCCCGACCCGCCCGTCAGAGGATCGCCCGCCCGTCGTGGGCTGCCGCCCGAGACTTCATTGTGGAATGGCGGTTTCGCCTAGGACTTCTTCGAACGTTCGCATTCTTACCTTCCTGCTCCTCCCTCCGCCCGGGCCACCTCCCCCCTCCTTCCGATTCCCTCTCCCTCGCCTCCAACACCTCGCCGAGCAGCACCAGAGGTGTTACATGGCGCTGTTTATGGCGCGAAATCGCACTGTTTATGTACGGTTTTCTTGGGAATCGCGCTATCGCTCGAGGTTTCCTCGCGATTCGTGTCCCTGCCTGCCTCATGTCCTTTCCTTCGATCCGTCTTCCTCTTCCCCTGACTCCGGGGCTGCGCGAAATACATGCTGCTCGTAAGAAAGATCTATCCCTAAGGGGGTAAGGTCGAAGACGAAGAGGGCGGGTATCGAGAGTTTGGGATGTACGTGCTGAGTGGCACGTGATCAAGTAACAACAAGCATTCTTAACATGATTGCTGTTGTTGTTGCTGTGGTTGTTGTTGTTGTTGTCGTTGTCGTCGTCGTCGTCATCGTTGTTGTTGCTGATGATGAGGTTGTTGTTGTTGTTGTTGTTGTTGTTGTTGTTGTTGTTGTTGTTGTTGTTGTTGTTGTTGTGGGTGTGGGTGTGGTTTGTTGCTGTTGTTGCTGCTGTTGTTGTTCTGGTTGTTGTGGCTGTTGCTGATGTTGTTGTTGTTGGTACTGCTGCTGCTGTTGTTCTTGTTGTTGTTGTCCTCCTTGTTATTGTTGTTGTTGTTGTTGTTGCTGCTGCTGTTGATGTTGTTGTTGTTGTTGTCGTTGTTGTTGTTGTCGTTGTTGTTGTTGCTGCTGCTGTGGTTGCTGTTGCTGCTGCTGCTGTTGCTGTTGTGGTTGTTGCTGTTGCTGTTGCTGTTGCTGTTGCTGTTGCTGTTGCTGTTGCTGTTGCTGTTGTTGTTGTTGTTGTTGTTGTTGTTGTTGTTGTTGTTGTTGTTGTTGTTGTTGTTGTTGTTGTTGTTGTTGTTGAATACTTATTTTCTGCAGAGTAATTATTGTTGATCTCCGGAAGCGTTTCCGAGCGCTCTCGCCTCGACGCCGGTTACATTTTCGCTGAAAACGAGGCTCCCGCTCGAGCGTTGGCTTGACCCTACGTGTGGGCCCTTGGAGGCCCAGCTACGACAACAACGGCTCCCGCTCGATACTTCCTCACATTTTACCCCGAGACACCCTGGCCAGAGAGGCCCCCGAACTCAGGAACGGCGCTCTCGCTCGAGACCTCCTCGCAATTCAGTTAAGTTTGCAGAGTTGGCAGAGGCCCAGGCACGACGACAAGTGCTCCTGCTCGATACTTCCTCACGAATTACTCCGAGAGCCTCTGGCCAAGAAGGCCCCCGAACTCAGGAACTGCGCTCTATTTCGAGACTTTGTCGTAATTCAGGCAAGTTGGTGGAGGCCCGGACACGGCGATAAGGGTTCCCGTTCGATATTTCTCCATAGGTATTCCGAGAGCCCTTGGCCAGAGAGGCCCCCGAACTCAGGAACGGCGCTTTCGCTCAAGACTTCCTCGCACTTCAGTCAGTGGCCGACAAGAAAAATATTCCCCCCGAAAGGGGGTGCAACCGAAGACGAAGTGGGCGGGTATCGAGGGTTGGGGTTTACGGAATGCAAGACACGCATGCCAGTAAGAGCGAACCGTCTTGAAATGATTGTTGTTGTTGGTTTTATTATGGTTGTCGGTGTTGGTGTAGGTGTTGGTGTCGATTTTTTTGTTTGGATGTT